TCTTCATTTTAGAGCTGTGGCTCAGCCAGCCTGGCAGAGACAGCAGAACTAACATAATTCCACTGGGCCATGAGAGATTCACCTGGAACTTGGGAGTCTCTACTTTCACAAGCTGGTTTTCTTTAAAGATATTTGTACACAGGATTTCTTGAAGTGGCTTAAATGTTCCAGGATTCCTGCAGCTGGTAAACTCCTTGAGTAACACGAGCTGTTTTGAAACCCTGTTTTCCACGAAATAATCCTAGTTCAATATCCATATAGTTCCTACAGAAATGAAGCTCTGCATGAGCAAGGCTCTTACAGAAACAAGAGCATCTAAGAAATGGGATTGCAGATCCCATGAAATATTGCAGTCCCACAGAATGCACACAGTTCAGTATGTATCATATCTGACTGTAAAGTCCATGATAGAAGCCACTCTTCAATTGGCAGCAAAGCTTAACTGGCTGCAAAATATAAACTCAGTTTTTAAAAATAACTCTCATGCTTAAAAAAAAACAAGTTCTGAATTAATATAGTGACAGATCTTTGTTATCAAGAGCTTAAAGGATGTTTGTAAAGAGAACTGATTTATATGGATTTATATATTTATATGGATTCACTTCAGAATTATTTAAGAACTATCAAATTTCCAGTAGTCCTTAATGAATCTCTGTTGACAAATTATGCTAAAAAAATACTTGTTGATAAATCTGGTTCAGCATAGTCTATTTTTTCCCTCCCCCTGTGGATCACTGTCCTCCTGAGTATTAAAATGTACGATGAGTTCCATCACACATATTTCTCCCCATGCAAACCAAACATCACTGCAGCACTAGCAGGGCCTAACTTTGCAGATTGCAAGTTCCCTTTTTTCAATTAGGAGTGGGTTTTGAGAGGTTCTCTCAAATTTCATTATATTAGAAAATGCAAAATATTGGCATGCTTTCTGTAGTGCCCTAGTAGGCTTGTGTAATCTCTCCTGCCCCATCAAGGCCAACCAAAAATACACCAGTAACAACTTTTCCTTCCTGCATTCATTTGGGGTCCTCAGGAATCATTGTGTTCACAGGTTTGCACAAGAGTTTGCCACTTGTTTGAAGTGGCTTTAGTTAGTCTAACAAACCATCCTGTGATCCCACACTTCCACTGAATGAAGCACCACGCCAGCAGTAACTGCACAGGACTTTAAATAAAGCTGCACCTAATGGTGCAGCCTCCCCAGAATGTCCCTGCTGGGACAAGGGCATCTGGTGTCTATGTGGGGTGGCTCAGACAGAAAGTAGTAACAGAACCCTGCCCGTTGCTCTGGGGAGGACCTGAATCCAGGACATTCAGCACATTCCTCCCATGGATATCTGCAGCACCATTCTATGCTTGGGTGAAACTTCCTTTGTGCCACATCACTGAATTGGGAGCATTGGCCAAGGAGAAAGACCTTCAACCTGACCTGAGATGCATGATCTGATGGCTCAGAGTCGTAGTGGGAAGGATTCTAAGGTAGGAGTTGCTAATCCACAAAACAGAAGAGCTCCATCACCTCAGAGTCAGATAGAACATGCTGACTGTCTTCTGAAAAGCTGAAAGTTCAGTGTCTTTCAGCAAAGTGTTGGAATTCCTCTAGTCTGACACCAGATTGACGCTTTGCTTAAGGCATAATGCACAGACATGGATACAAGCAGAGCAGCTGAGGAATCTGAACAGAGCAGACAGGTTGCCTGTTTTGCTAAGGCTTTAGGAGACCATCATTTTCCAGAGAAATGCATTCTTCCCTTCTCCCCCCCACTTTGAAGGCAAACACAACCTTGCATGTATGAGAAACAAAACAGCAACAATTTAAAAAACAACAAACACCACCAGCATAAAATCCTGTCAGCCAAATGCCATATATACTTTGGAATTGTTATGGACTCGGAGCTATTTGTGTACAACCAGCAAGCCACACAATCTAATGGCAGTGAAATTCCACCCTTCCTGTTTTCAGAAAGATTTTGTTTTCTAACTGAATGAAGTGCTGATTCAGCAGGCATTTCCAGCTCCACCATTGACATCAGGTCGTTTACATTCTCAGTTTCTGCCTGAAACTGAAAAAAAGGCAAACACCACCAAGAGAGCTGAAAACTGATGAACTACTATGTGTAAATAAACTGACTCCCACCCAGCAGTGCTGAGCACTTTCCTGTTTGGACAGGAAGTAAAAGTGTCAATTCTTTTATCAAAAAGATCATCTTAAATAAGACAGCACTTACCTCCACTTAGTATAATGACAGCTATAAATATTGCCAGGTCACTGTCATCTAATTCCAGTGCATTGAACTTCACAGCAAACTCAAACTTGGGCTCCATAAAGTCACAAAAAGGTTTTCTCAGGCTCTTCAGGAACTCCCGTGTCATGAAGCCTTGTCCATCAGATATAAGAACTCCGTCTTTATTCATCAGAGAAGCCAGGAGCGTGTATATGATCTCGTGGACCCCGTATTTCAGGAGAGTCACTTGATCATTCAGGTCAAGATTCACAAAACCTGGAATGTTCTTGGCAAATTCTGTGATCTCCTGCACTGCCTCCACGGAGCGGAACTGGCACCGCTGGAAGATGCGAATGGCCACCTCTTTGTTCTCCTCCTGCAGCGGGGACACGTGCTTGCACTTGATCTGATCTTCTCCCATCATCAGAGAGTTCATGTCATAAATAACAAATGGCTGAAGAGAAGAGGAAAAGACAAATTACTTTCAAATGTCCTGTCTGTGAACGTTTGACTCCTGAGAAACTGCAGTGGCACCCAGAGGTACAACCCATCAGAAAACACTTTGACATCTGGGGGGAACAGCGAGGGGAGGTGACCCCGAAGGGTTAAGTCTTCACAAACCTCTTGCAGCAAAGATTCTCACAAGGTTGAAGTGATTTACAGACAGGACAAGGAGCTTCTGAGCCCTTCTCACATGTTCTGTACATCCATATTATAAAAACAGGACTTTGGAGGATGCTTTTTTAAATCTTAAGGGAAGGAGGGCAAGGAACATGATTTTTAAATGTCCGTGATTTTTCCCCCTTTTTTTTTTCCCCATGTTTTACAGAAGTTCTCTAGCACCACAAACCAAAGCTTGGCATGCTTATTAAGAAAATACTAAAATGTTCCTCCTTTTACCTGAACTGTGCTGGCTTCTGTAAAACCCAATCTAGTCAGTGCCCTTCAGTTTGCACTTCTGATGAGGCAACTTTCTTGTAGAAAGACAGGATGGATTCACATTTTGATTACTTCACCTACTGGCATGTTCTTATCAAGTCTATCTTTCTAGGAAATGCTACAACTAGTGTCAACTTTATGGCATTGATTATCTGATAAATGTAACCTTTTCCTGCTAATTCCTTTAAAAATAACAAAGTTAGGATACATTTAAATTCAAAACACTTGTCAGTGGCAAAAATCCCACAAATACCATGACAGAAACTACAGCAGCACAATTCAGAATGCAGGAATGAGTCTGACTGTGAAATAAACTCAACTGGAATAAATCAATTTTGAAAGATAAGAAAAAAGTAGTGCCAGGAAAACTTAAGTTAGGATCTGGAAACAATCTGTTTCAGAATTAGCAGAATAGGCTCCTGGTTTTAAAGAAGTGGTTAAACGAGGATTTCTTGAAATTATCTGAAGAATCTTTTCCTTAGAGGATAAATGGTTCATTGCTGCACTGGAAAACTATCTACTGATATTAAGAAGTTTGCTGCCATAATTAATTAGTAAAAATGCAAGGAATTATATGACTGGGATAATGCATTTTTTTGATTTAAGATCCCTTATGACTACAGATTCCAGTGCCTCATTGACAGGCATGCTCATTCTCATGCTTTCAGAGTCACTAGATGCTGCAGAAGAGATTCCAAACCAATCCCAGGCTTCCAACACACAGGCACTGGTCTTGTCCCACAGAATCAGCTTCTATTCCCATCTGATTAAGCTGGCTTTGGAGCCAAACCAGTGCTAAATTACTAAGGAATTTTTAAAACTGGAAATAGCTCCTTTCTTTAGAGCCTGGTGGAGCCTTCTGAAGAGGATGTCCCTACCTGACAGATAGAGGTTACTGCTCCCAGTTGTGCAGGTGGAGCCTGGGACAGTGTTTGCTCACCTCTTTTGGGCACAGAGGACACAAAGGTCCTACCTGCTGGCATGAGGGAGGGAGGGATGACAGACAGCAGGAGCTCTGTCTGCAAACTGAAATGGTGACATCTGCACTAGAGGGTTTCAGCTCTCAAAAGGGTTGAGTGAAGTCAGTACTTGCTGCTTACAAGACCAAAGGAAGCAGTGCTGCCACTTCTACAGTGACCACAGCCAACCAGCTCCACACTGGGAGGTGCCAGTGGGGTATGACACTGTTTTCCCCTTGCACTGGGAGTTCAGTGTGGAACTGAAAACATAAACACACCTCCCTGAGAGAAGGCAGGGAGATAAGGTGTTTTTCAACATGTAACACTGTTTGAGCAGCAGAAAAAACATAGATATCTGTACACATGTATATGTACACACATCAAAAGGGTGGAAGAAGAAGACTGCAGAGGAGGCTTTTAAAATGCACATTTTAGTACCTGTAAGCCATTCCTTTCTTTTCTTTCTAGATCTGAAGTGGGAGCACTAAGTACAAGAAAAAGTAATCAGTGCTGTGCATGCACATGTGCTCCAGAAAGACTAGACTATGCCACAGCCCTGCTGACATTAGAAGAGGAAAATCAAGAAAGAGTTCAACATTGCTAAAGAAGCAATGAACTTCATGAGTAGAAACTTACATCCAATGAGCACTGTGCAGCTCAGAAGGGGATGAGTTAGTCATTTTAGTTTTGACACACTCATCCTATCATTTTCACTTAAAGCAGATGAAATAGCCATTAAAAATAAAACCAAAACATAAAATTAAACTATGCCCATAGTGACCAGCTGGCTGTCCCAGGACACAAAGTCCATTTACAGTTCAACTAACGTTGCAACATTAAATACTGAGTGTCACTTTTTCAGTGCTCTTCTGTTTTAAAGACTTGAAAACCTGCAGCAATGGGAAGCTGATTTCTACATCTTATGTTTTATTGCTGTATTCTAACCCAGCAAGTCTCAGAAGAGCCAATGAGCAGCAGGACACCCTTGAGGACACTGTGTATCGACTGTACCAGGTGCATTGATGTAACTTTCAGCCCTGACCAAGCTGTGAAAGCCCCAAGGTTTGGTCAGTGCCCAGCACAGCAGAACAGCAACCCACACACCCACTGATGGCTGGGACAGCTTCCTAGAACCTTACAGAACTAAAGTAGAATTTGTGGATGCACCTGGGGCCTCAGAATCCAACTTCCCAGAGTTCTAAACACACGTCTGGGAAAATGGGAGAGGAGAGGACCTGTAGGTAACCCTGCCCAGACTCCTGTCACCTCCATACCCAGCAGGCAGCTGCAGGGACAGGAGCAGATCTCCTGCTGACATTTTTCACATTAAGAGAAGTAAACAAGATGTATAATTACACCCCCCACTTCTACTTCCCAATGTGGGTACATAGTTACTAAGAAGACACTTAAAAACCCCCTAAATTCCTGTGTTAATTCCCAGTCACACTAACGATTTAGAGAGGGAACTGTGGGAAGACTTGGTAAAAGCAACACCCCCAAGTGCACTGAGTTTATCAGATTTCTGCAGAATAAATAACCTCTGCTAGTTCAAACTAGGTATACTCCATGAAGGAAAGTTACTCCAACTGTAAGTGTCCACCAGATAGGAAATTTTTATGTGAGGGGTACAACCAAATTAGGGGCAATATTTGAATGATGATTTTAACAATCTTTAAGGACAGAAAGCCTAAAAAAACCCTGCAAATTCTTTCCTATCTTTGAAATGATTAAAGAAAATAAAATAGTCTGTTGTAATCCTGACACAAAGATTTCTGCTGATGATTCTAGAAAATACATCAAACTAAGAGTTATAAATTTTGGGAAACTATTTTGCTCTTTAGGTATTAAAACAGTGACAAAATGGAAGACTTATCATAATCACCAGATCTTATTTTCCTCCTCCTCACTTATACAGGAGATCGTTAGGTATTGCCAGTGAAGTTCCCAAAGCAACCCACAAGCACAACCTCTATTCATTACTTCTTAAACATTTTCTTCTACATTCTCCTAAAATTCAAATGGCACCAACAGAAGGTACTGATTTGGTCCAGGATAACCCAGTTAAATGCAGGAAATCCTCGAAGCATGACAAGAGCAAGCATCATAGTTCAGGGTAGTGATGCTGTTGGTGCTGGAAATCATTTGATACGAAAAAGAACATTCCTTTGGGAAGAGCTGGGAATGATGGTGTGTGTGACATGGCTGCTTGATCCTGACAGCTAGATAGCCAGTGTAACAGATAGTGTGGGAGATAACCTTTGGGGAAGGAGAAGGAAAACGGGAAGAGCGGAGCAGGAAAACCAAAAAGGTTAAGCTGACCTTCAAATTCTTGTACCAGTTTCAACTATTTTATTAGGTGAACTTGGAGTTTTTTCAAATAATGTTTACTTATCCTATCTCAAAACATTTCCTGTGTTTCAGACACAGCTTGAAATATGTAACTGCCAACAGCAAACTTTTGTTTTGTTTTGCAAAAAAGGGCGGGTTGTCAACCTGGTAAATGGTTTACTCCAAAGCAAAGCAAAAACGAAAAGCAGAAAGGGAGGGAACTGACTGATTTGTCTGTCGTCTTTCCTGTCAGGATGGCCCTCGCCTTGGCTTTGGTGAGAGGGAAGGACTTGATGTAGGAGTCATACAGGTGCTTGGCCAGCGCCCGCAGATCCGCAGATTCGGGGTTTAACTGGTCGATGTCGCTGGAAATCTCTGCCAAGAGCTTCTCCTTCTCTGCCTGTGGCATTCGCCCAAACCTGATGGCTGAAGAAGATGACAAGTGATTACTAGAGCTACAGTTGCACCTAAAACCACCTGCAATACCTACTACCAAGTACCTGGCTGCTGATGTCACCCTTTGTCATCAGCTCCTTAACAAAACAGGTGAGTAAGAAAAGATTCTTTTCTCCAGTGACACCAGGCAAAAGAGCTGAAGTGCTTTAAAGAAATGTAAACAAACATCTCCAAGAGGAAATAATCCCTGTGCCCAAACAGTAGGATTACAATATCTCCCTTGGAAATGCAAATCTGTCGTGTGCTCACCTGAAGAGTTGGTGAAAACCACCAGTCCTACCTCCAATCTAAATAAAACACAAGGAATCTTGAAGATTCCGGGTGGGACCCACCCTGCAGCCTTGTATTGTTTTGGGGAAATCAACATATGGATCTCAGATTCTTCACTTGTTTAGAAACAAAACACTCACATGCCTTGCAGGAATGAATTTCCACATCGTGCAACAGAGCTTAAAGCAGCAAGTGCTGTAAAACGTTAGCAAAAGAATTAAGGAATGAGAAAGAAGTTTGTGCAGGGAATCAGAAAGCCAGGAAAGGCTGAGTTCTTCATGGTGCCTGCAGTACTGGAAGAACAGGAAATGGTTCTCCCTGCTCACAGGAGCTCACAACTGCAAAATATCAACACAAGGATGCTGCAAACCTCCTGATTTTACACCTACCCAAGGCATGATTGGTTCCTGTGGGGACTGACTTGGGAAATGTTTCCAATGATCAGTCGAGATCAAGAGTGATTTGTCATATGATAGTTCATTAAACAGAATTTGGTTTATTTCACAAAACCAAAACAGAACAGAAGAGCATCAAAACAAAAAAAAAAACAGAAGGAAGAAATAAAGGTTGGCATTTTGGCCTTAGGAGGAAATAGAAACATTGTAAATCCTTTTGCAGCAATTAATGTCTTCCCTGAATAAATTGCTGTTAAGATCAGACATATTATGATCATATTACACCAGGGACATTCATTTTGAAAATGAGCAGCCACTTCCTTTCATGAGTTTGCTTGCAGTGTGCTGATGGACAAAAATGACACTGGTTTTTCAAGGATAAACAATTGTGTCAGAAAACATAAAACCCCAATTTGTCATATATGATACTTATTGATCAATTCCCTCACTTCATGGCTGTAGCACCAGGGTTGTTTATTTTTACAGCTGTACTGCTCTTCCAGCAAACTTAGTCTCTGCATGCTGTAGAGTTCATATTTGCTTGGGCATTCCTAGAGCTAACACATCAGAATAAAAATCATCATGAAAGGAAACCTAGTTCAATAGCTACAAATTAACATATTCTATTTCCCACCCCTCCCCAGAAAACGTCTGTTGCTTCTCATGTTTTCATAGGGGAAATTCTGAACCATTGCCAGCTGATATTTGTTTTGCATCATATATACCCTGGCATATGTAGGGATTCTTTTCCTCTCTTGTGGGAAATGCTTCCTTCATCAGCTCCTGACAATGGTTTTCAGGGACATGTCTCTGTCCTCCTTCCTTCTGAGAGCAAAACATTTGAAGAAAACTTATTAAGGTCATATCAGTTCCTGTGCTCAGAGACTGACACCACACTGTGCAGCACCATGGGGATGGGGGAACATATGGCGGGGGCAGTGATGTGTAAAAAACTGATAGCTGCTCGTGGCAGGTGGTGGAACTGGAGGATCTGCAAGGTCCCTTCCAACCCAAACCCGCCTGGGATTCTCTGATCCATATTTGTACTCAGTGTAACCTAAATAAACAAAGGGGGAAAAAAATTCATCCTAACTATAAAAGAATGAATTCAGCTACACAAGCTTCCACAGACACTGAGAATCAAAGCTATTTTGGTGTGTTCATTTCACAGTTAAAAATTCCTGTTTGTCATTAACACAGATCCTTTGAGACTGTTGTGGTGGTTTTTTTAATGTATGGATGTTAATAGCTTTAAGCCTCCCAATACCAGTATCTTCATTTTAGACATTCCTGAAGATGTAAAATGAATTAAGTATGAATATTTAATGAAATATACAGAGTGAAAGCTCACTGGGAATACCTTATAGCATTTCCAGGTATTTTTTCCTGGAGCTTAAAGGGTGATTCAGTAAAAAGAATCAAACTGTCCTCAACATAATAAATTGAAAATATATTATGATAAACACAATGTAAGAAATTGTTACAGTGACAACACATAGGACTAAAACGTGGGGTCAAGAAGGTGTAAAAATAATAATATATAGCTAACAAAAGTGTTAAAGATTAATTAAAAGTCCATGTTGGACAGTGTAGTTTGATGTCTGTTCAATTATTGGCTTCATTAAAAGCTATTATGTTTTCACTAAACCTGATTTCAGATTTAATATTAACTTAAATCTGTGACATTTGTAGGATTATGTCTCATGATTAATTGGTCCACTTTTCAAAGGTGCATTTTGCAGTAGCTTCACCAGTGGGGAAAAAATCATGTGCTACTTTGATGCTTCTGACTGGGTTCTTGCCAACAAATCCAGCTCTTCCTCCCCATCTTTTTTTTTTTTTTGTGGAAGACTTTGCAAACTGAAGACCTAAGTGAAGCCCAGCAAGACTTCTCAGGCTGTTAAAGTGGCGTTTTTAGTCTGGAAAGAAACAGGGCAAGTATTGGCCTCATCTACAGGGCTGCTAAGAAAAAATGGAGCCCAGAGTTGCCCATGTTGATGAAACATTGATGATTCCCAGGACTACACAGAGAGCAATTGATTGTGACCTGAAGAGTTTGAACCCACAGTCAGGAGGATGTAGGGGCTCTGAGGTCCTTTGAGAGGTTTCACATTCATATCAGATACCAGGAGCTTTGGGCCAGAAAAATGTTCTGTTATGCTAAAAACATTGTAAACTAAGTAAACAAACTTGGAAACTACGTTGAGATTTTATATGAAACATATTTGTAACATTATATACAATCTCTTTGCATTATGTTTGCAATTCATGAGGCGCCCCTGGTGTGACTTCTTGTCTTAGAAGCTTGTTCTGGGGTTTGCAGAAGCAAGTTTATCATCTGGATTCTCACTGGCATAAGTGTCTCTTTCATCAGGGTTATTTTTACAAACCAGGGATAAAAAGAAAGGGACAGTATATTGCTTCCCCTTCCTATATTTTAATATTAACTCAGGTCTAAAATAGTTCCACACTTCTGCAAGGCATTAAAAACCATTTCTTTTCTTTTTTTAAAATCTTTTTTTCAGTTCTTCTTCCCCCTCTGCATTTCAGCCTTTTAACAAAACGTTTCCTGAAACATTCCCAAAGCTGCAGCACAGTAACACACCAGCTATGGCTCTGGTCACTGGAACAGAACTCTTGGATGTAGAGATTGTATGGAAAAGATGAGGGATTGTTTTGTCAGCAGACACCAAGTGACCCAGCTGTGGGACTGCGTTCTTTGAAAGGACAGAAGCCAGCCTGGTAACAAACATCTTGCTACAAAGTCACAGGTGGGTGACTAAACCAGTGCCTGTTTATTCCAAGTTTGCCCAAATTGAGGGGATTAGTTTCTTTCTTAAACTGCTGACAGTTTTACACATAACCCTCTTAACTGTTGCACTGATCCTGCCAGGGTAAAACAGGTTTACTGTGAGTTTTGAGGGGAACTCAGCCTAGTGTGAGTACTGTTTTCTGAGTGTGCTCCTTAACCTGTACCTGGTCCCTGTGCAGAGTCCTCTGTACCCTCTCTCCAAGAGTCTCTTGGAAAGCCAGTTATTTGTGCCAGCACCGTGGTATTGCTCAACAACAAATTGTTGATAGTTCTCTGCTACAAGTTTACAACAGCACTGGTACAGAATTTATAATGGATGACAACTTACACTGTGTTTATTTTTTAGATGGATTATAAGATTGACTACGGGTGCTCCAGAGTCCCAGAGTTTCCAGTGTGCTTACCTATCCCCAAAAAGGACATCAAATCACTTTTGCAAAGTAGGGATGTGTTGTAAACCTAGTGCTTCTAATATAGAATTATTTCCATTAATTTACAGATTGCATTGGAGTTCATCATACAGTTAATACTTCACTTACTGCTCATGGTTCCAGAGCAGATGTCTTCTCTCATTTATTTTAATTTTGCTTGTGATGGAGATACTTGTTTTCCTGAGAAGTGCTTTGAGATCTTTGTATGATAAGTGCTATAAAACCACAATATTATTTATTACTTTGCTATTTGTTTCAGTTCCTTGTTGGAATAATTTTTAGGTTTTTGTTTCCATGTGTTTAAGATTTTTTTAATTTTTATAAATACAGTCAAAACCCTCTGAACACTAGTGTTAAATCAGGGCATTGTCTTCACTGTGCTAAATGTTAAGAATGCAAGCACCCTGATATATAATCTATTTTGCAATTAAAGCCCAAAGAAGACTATATCAGATGAGAAATGATTAAGCTACATAGAAATTTGCTATATATATATATTTTTAAGGAATATTTGGCACAGGTTTGGCACAGGGCCTCATGATGCTGATTTTTGTAGGAAGATCAGATTCGTGGTTTGTGGGGTTTTTTAAAGATTATTTAAAATTTAAAATTATTTAAAATTCTTTCTGTGTAAATAAAGAGGGAAAGAAAACCCCACCACAATCAACAAAAAAATAAGCACAACTGCCAGAGGTAGCACTGGATCATACAGCGAGTCTGTTAAAAACCTTGTTGCCTGCCAGCTCAATATCAGACTCGTACGTAAAACAATTCAGCAATAATGAAATCCCTCAGAAATGTCAGAGTATTTTCTTGTGTTTAGTGTGTGAAAACTGGCCTTGGGGCAAAGTGTGTCAAGGATCCTTGGTTCTCCAGGGACTGTATGTATATTAGCAACCCATTGTTTCCACCTGGGCTTGTTTCTTTCTAAATGGCTGTTTTTAGGATGGAGTAAGAGCAGTGGATCTTTCATGATCCACTTTTAAACACTGTCTCTGTTTCATGAACATTTGTGTCTTGGAAGATTTCTGATGGAATTCATGAAACAGGAGAATAAAGTTTCCTAAGCAAAAGGTGATCAGGATCCAAAAGTGTAATTTTAAATATAACAATTCAGTAACAACACAGAGAGTTGTGAACCAAACATTCCTATCCTACAATTGAATAGGGAAAATGATAGTTTTTGAATATTTTAATGTTCAGAATATATTTTATACATATTATATTACTTGCAGCAGATTCTATTCAATGTTGATTGGCACTGCAAACAAAATTTGGGGCAAAATTCAGTTTTGTGGGACTAGCCTGGTAGTTTCCCTTTGAAGAAGTCATTGCCATTTTCAGGGGACTGAGACAAAAGCCAGGGAGAGGTCAGGCACCAGGAGCTTTACAGAAAGAATGTGGGAAGTGGGATTTGGGGAGAGAGGAGAAGTAGGAGGGACTGATGATACTTAGAGAAGTCAGGGTGGGAAAAGGAGAGTGCAGAGGGTGGGCAGGAGTTTACCTGGTGGTTGAGGAAAAGTGCAAGGATGGGTGGCATGACCCTTCTCTGCTGCTTTCTCCACCTCCCTCCTGTGACCCTGACCTCATCTTCTGTTTCCTTGGGCCACTTACTCTCCTTGCTACTCTTCCCTTCTCTCTCCTCCAGCTGCCCTCACAGCAGGCCCAGCTTCCTTCTGTCCTGCAAGGGCAGGAAGGGCAGAAGCAGCTGGTGCAGAGGGTCTGGAAATGCAGCTGCTCGTGCTGCAGGGGTGAAGGGCTGCAGGAGGGAATTTCTTTCACAGTCACAGAAGACTCTGCAAGTTTGGGCACATGTCTGCAGCTGGAACCTAAGATCTCTCTTTCCTTTGGCAGTTCTTTATTTTACCTGCATTTACAGAACTCCCCAAATCTCAGTGATATAAACCCAAGGGTGAATGCAGTCAGACTGTATCTGCTGCCTTGTGTCCTTTGACTTTCTGTGGAAAATCCAGAATCTTTATCCTTACACCCCATTTCATGGCTTGGAGAAGTCCCGGATAGACTGTTCTGTACAGCACACCCCTCTTCTGCTTCTCTAGATGATTTCTGAGCATAAATGAATCCCCAGATAACCTGCAAACACAGTTGCTTGCTCTAGAAAGCTGGGGCAGGGGAAGCTGGGGCAGATCTCTGTCTCAGTTCCGTGGGGGCATGTGAAGTAAGCAAGTCCCTGCTCCCACAGCTGGTACTGCAGACATTGCCATGTGTGCTTCCTCTCTCTCATTATCTGGTTTGACATAGATAAGTACCTTTAGTAGAAGAGGAAAAAAAAAATAAAAAAGAATCTTCTAAAATAAAAGACCCAAGCTTCTGCTTAGTGGTACTTCAGAATACAGTCTGAGCAATGAAGGGTTAAAGGAAGAGCAGCACTGTGGCTAGAGAAGGGAAAACAATACTGAAGGCATGAGAACACTGCTGTCTCTTTAACCTTCAGCCAAGTGGTGTGTAGCATTTATACGTGAGAATATGTGGCTGTGGCTGCTCAGGGTCCCCCTGCACTCCCTGTTCACTCTGCAATATTGTATCTGTGCAAAGGCAGAGCTTGGAACCCTCGGGCACAAACATTCCTCCTTCTGCTTCCAAAGGTTTTCAATTCAGATCAGCTCAATGCCCCATGGACACGACTCTGTCCATGGAAGGTGAGAAGATGTCTGAGTGTCACTGCCAGCATCCAGGGTTACCTTCCTGTGCTTCTTCACACAGGTCTGTGTCTTCAAAGGCAAAATGTTATTCTTTTTTATTAAGTAGTTTGTTTATAAAGGATGGAGGAAGGAGGGTTTCATGCAATGTGATGTAGGTTCAAAAGGCAAATGCAGCAGCACTACATTTATAATATGATATATTATATATAATATACACACTACTAGCTCCCTGTTGGGTGAGCAGATGGAAGGGTTCCTTCAGGCCCTGGGACAAATGTTTTTGCCCTTTCCTCCTCCTCTCTCTGCCTCCTCCAACCTCCCTCAACCAGGGCCCCTGCTTCTGCCCCAGCAGTGGATGAACAGGGAAAAAAAGGCAGGTGAAATGTTCATTTAAAAAATATTTATTGGCCCTTTATGTTACTAAGGCAGAGAGGAGGGTCTTGGCCTTCCCCTTCTGGATGGAACTGCACAGGGTTCCCACTGACATGATTGGAAGCCCTGTTGCTAGGTTATGGGAGAGTTTGGCATGCACCTTGACAATAATAATAATAAAACCTCCCAAATTACTATAAAAATACCCACAGTAGCATTTCAAAATTAGATTTATTTTTAAGCGTTACTGTTGCATCCCAGGAACTCAAAAACCATATTTTCTATTAGCAAAACATTTCCCATAGCAATTTACATTCACTGCATGTATTGACTCTGCAAACCACAGCTCAGCTTTCCTCTTGGGGACAGCAAACTCATTTTTTTATATTGAAAATAATGAAAGTTCTAAAAAAACCACAGAGAAATTATTTTCCCAGTCATGTTTGCAATTCTTTACCCTTAGAATTACATAAGTCTCAATGTTATGACATTTAATTCCTGTTTTTACTCAACTTTGCCAAAGCAAGGCAGCAAAGAATCTTCATTATGCCTTGATGTCCAGACATTTGTAAGTATTTCCACATGGATTGATACATTAATTTTAAAGCTTGAAGGGACTTTTGTCTGAAGAGACAAGAGAGCAGTATCACCCTGTGGTTAATGCTGCTGTGGGGAAGGCAACCACAGGTCCAGGCACAACTGCAAACCCTTTGCTACCTTAGACTACAACATATTCAAAATGGGAATGCTGCTCCCAGCCCAGGGATGGGAGGGGATGTTCCCCTCTGGATAGTGGGGAGGGCAGACAGGCCTGTTGCACAGGAATCACTGCTCTGAGAGGAGAGGCTGACAGCTGGACCTGCTCCCTGACCCATGCACCACGTGCAGGTTGTTTGAGTCACCAACTTTCAGTGAAATCTCTAGTCCATGTTTCATAATTAAATTAGTTTTCCACTTGGAGGAAGAGGGATATTGAGCTATAGCACAGAAAAGAGCCTCACCAGAAAATAAGACAGTGAACAACAACAGTTACACTAGGAATACCTTCAGGAAGAACAACCCACAGTGTAATGAGCAGCCAAGATGGAGATTAAACAAATTCAGCTGTTATATTACATATTATATCAATAAGTGCAAATCTCTGCCTGTCTGAATGTCAGGCTGGAAGCAATCTCCTAGTCTCCTAAACCTTTGGATACATATTCCTAAACTGCCTGAAGTAGGAAACAGAAGACTCCAGATGTCAAAACAGCACATTCAGGAATCATATTCATGTTTCACCTTCTTTCCCAGAGGAAATATGATTGTTTTAAAATCTGCTATGCACACTTACCATTATGTGACATCCCAACAGCCAGGCATTTCTGGAACCTGCAGTATTGACATTTATTCCTGCTTTTCTTGTGGATGCGGCAATTCAGATCACACCTGTCATAGATCAGCTTCAACCTGATTGTCCTTCGAAAAAAGCCCTGCAGGAAACACCAGAGCATGTGAGAGGCTGCAAGAAACTGCAGTGTCCTTGTCTCACTCCTCTTGGCATGCAAAGCACCTTCATGGTTTGGATTTCCCAAGGAACCAGACCCACCCAGCCCCCCTGGGCTCCTCTGCTGATTGGGTCAGACCTTTGCAGCCAAGGTGGAGAGAGGGTTAAAAACCCCAAAGAGCTGGGGAAGCTTGAGGGACCTACCTTGGGAGGTCTGGGACACACTGAGCAGAAGGAACACTGGGCCAAAGGAAGAGAAGCCCCATTTGTTCCACTGCTCATGCCACAATTTGTTACAAAGTGAACACGAAATTTGCCAAACTTGAGGTTTACAACCAATGCAGAAAATCTGCTCTAAATCACAACAAACCCAATCTCTGCCAACAGCAGCTTGATCTCAAGTAAATAAAAAAGGTTATGGGTTATCTGTTTGTTTAAATTTTGTTTCCCAACTAAGTATTTTTTAAACTCTCTTTCAAATATTTATTTTCCTTTTTGAGCCTGAGCACTTAAAGACAGTTTATATTCTTTCACCTATTCCATTTCCTGGGATTTGCACAGTGCTGAACTACTGCTGCAACATTTTCCTTTGGGTTCTGTTTTCTAGTTTCTCATCATTGTTAGGATATGACAAGTTTAAAAGTACATTAGCATGTGAAAAAATCAAAACCCATGGTGCCAAACTCACAGAATGATTGCACAGAATTCCTATGAAGTCTTATAAAGAGAGAAATCATTAAGGAAATCCACAATTCTGTCTTTTTACAGTGTAAAGATGATTTTTAAGATCACTCATAATCAATAAAGTTTATCCAAATTTATTGTACCTTATTCTTAGTGAGAACTAATTTTTCCTCACAGCAAGCAATAACAAGCATAAAGCTAAGTTTTATTTATAAAATTCACTGTAATTTAAGTAATCAACAGCATATTTATTGCTTTATGTGTGTCCCTAATTCAGTGCTATAAATTTTATTTAAGCTCTGCACTTGATCTTTAGTTATTTTCCTCAAGATACTGAAAACAGAGAAGATGTAGATTTCATGTTAACCTCTGTAATATTTTTCTTGGACCTCAGTGTATTATTATGGATTTATTTCTCTGGCATTTCTTTTCTCATTCTTGAGATTGGTCAATTTTTATACCACTCATTTGTCCTTTATGTGTTATATATAAGACTAAACACAATTCACTTTTTAAAAAGCTGGTGGAGTTTTAAAGCAGGAAGCCACCTTTTAAATTCCACTAGACTTTTCTCAGTCACCTAGAAATGTGTAAACTGGGTAAAGAAACCCTAATCCATCAGAATAAGAGAGTCAGAATTTGAAATGGCTCAGGGTGTGGAGCTTTGGAGTCAGGCATGAGCCTGCTTTTGCAGATTCTACAAGTGACCTCCAAGGGAACAGGAACGAAACACACTTGCATAATTGATGAAAGTAGAAAAAAATGCACAAAAAAATTCAAACGTATCAGTGAGATAATTAAAAAAGCAAATTACATTTTAAAAACCTCCCTCTTATCACGTCATGAAGTAGATGCAGGATGTGTGGAACCATTTACGAAAGACCTACTAAGGCCCAAAATTCTCTTCAAACAGCTTTCTGATTTTCCCAAGTGACTGATAAGAGGCAACTTGGCTCAGAACAGCTCCCCTGGGACATCCTACCTTGCAGCCCTCACAGGCGTGGACACCATAGTGGAACCCAGAGGCCTTGTCCCCACACACGCGGCACTCGATCGCCATCAGGGAGTTGGAAGACTCCTCGTGAGGTTTGTTGTACAACTGAACTTTTTCTGAAAAATAGGGTGGGGAAGGAGGCTCCATTTTGATTGCACCTGTGGACAGAGAAGATATGAATGATGAACTCAGGTGATAATTAAATAGAAGCAGCAGCAAGGCATAAGCACAAGCAGTCACAGGATTCATGGCCAGGCTGACAGGACTGCTGCAGCATACAAGCAGTACGCAAAGATGGGAAAGGCTGCAAAGGTCTAGGCAGCTGTTCCACTGGCAGTAAATAGGCTGAAAACCTTGGAGAGGCAGATTCTGATGTAGAAAGTGTATCACAGAGGGATGATTTGAAGAGAGGGATATTAAAAATTTAGAGATGGAGACATGGAGCTTCAAAGGCCTCCCTTTTGCTCAGCATCCAGGCTGGCTGCATTGCTTGAAGGTGCCCAGAACTGCAGGGACATGGCCTGGAGTTCCTAATCTAGTGTAAATAATATTGAAGTATCCAAAGGATCTACACATTGAATCATCTGTAACTAGGTAATATAGATATTCAATAATAAGATGTGAGATTTTTAAACAAACTTCTCTCTCTCTCCTGGGGAGCACTGTTCAACTTTGGATGCACTGTTCAACTTTCTCTCTGAAAGTTTCTAATTAAGCAATTTGTACTATGGAACAAGCCCAAACAACCAAATATAGTATTTAAATCAATCATCAGTGGTCACAGAAGAAAGCTGGGACATTTGAGATGATAACATTACATCAGATCATGTCTCAGCAGTGATGTAACAGACACAGCACCACACTAAGGTGAACTTTTTTCTTTTCCAGACTGGCTGCACTATCCAAACTAGGCAGTTTTCTTTCCTATATAAACTAGGAAAATAAAAGAAAGTGGAAAGTTACCTAAGTAAAGGCAAAGGATTTATCCTACTTAAACTCTACTTCCCTCTCTTGCTTGTCAACTCAGATGAAGCCAATATTCCTACTCCAGCAGCACCTGAGGCCATTTGCAATTTAAAAGCTACCCATATTAATAATTAATAATCTGTGTATGGTGGGGCATTTTTTAACAGCCAGGATATTTATTCTGCAGTAGAATAGTTCTGTAGAACTTCAAAGGAAAATTCACACACCACACCTGGAGTGTTGTGTCCAGTTTTGGGCACCTCAATTCAAGAGAGATCTCGAGGTGCTGGAGCCAGGACAGAGGAGGGCAACAAAGCTGGTGAAGGGCCTAGAGAATAGATCTGATGAAGAAGGCTTGAGGGAGCTGGGAATGTTTAGTTTGAGGAAGAGGAGGCTGAGGGGAGACCTCATCAGTCTCCACAACTACCTGAAAGGTCATTTACAGAGGTTGGTGCTGGTCTCTTCTAACAGGTAATTAGTGATAGAACAAGAGGGAAGGGCTTCAAGTTGCAACAGGGCAGGTTTAGACTGGACATGAGGAAAACATTTTTCACAGAAAGAGTAGTCAGACCCTGGAACAGGCTGCCCAGGGAGGTGGTGGAGTCACCATCCCTGGGTGTGTTTAAGGGTCGTTTGGATGTGGTGTTGGAGGATCTGGTTTAGGGGACAACTTTGTAGAGTAGGGATGATGGTTGGACTAGGTGATCCCAAGGGGCTTTTCCAACCTGAATGGTTCTATGATTCTAGAAGATGCAGGAATAGGAGACTGGAGGTTTTCAAACAAATGGTGGGGTTCATGTGCCTAATACAAAGTGTTCCATGACATGGTAGATATTGAATCCCACATCTCCAGCTGCTGCTCTGGAAAGGGGCAGGTCTGCTAGATGTTTTCTACCTTCCCTATCTGCCTTGCAAGAATGTCTTGCAGACACCTCTGAATACTTCTAACTCCTTTTGCTCAGAGTGCACTTCCCAGAGAATGAAGCAAATGCAAACACGAAAGAAATACTAAAAAAAAATTAAAGCCTACTTTGGCAATCCTGGAGCTTGATATCATATTTGTAATCAATGCTTGTCTGATCAGTTCTTGCCAGAGGAATATCTTCATAGTGCGGCGAAGAAATGCTTGAGAAGTCAACAGTGGTGAAGGGCTTTATGTCAAAGGAGTGTGTATGATCATCCATGGCAGACAGATCCACTGGACTAATTCCAAAATTAATGGGCCAAAACGGCATTTCTGTGTCAACCATTGTAATCCCTGAAAACAAGCAGAAGAAACAGCCACTTTAAAAGAAGGTGGTTATCTCTGTAGTGAGTTCAGGCCCCACAGCTGCGTCCAGTTGTCTCATGTCCACAGGGCTGAGACACAAATACAAACAGGAAAAGTAACCATCTGGTTAAAAATAGCCACACAAATAACCATCAATGGGCAGATGAAATACAATGGCATTTTAACAGTATGACTGATAGAACATTGATGTGCTTTGGTAAACATGCAAGTCATTTAAAAAACCCCAGAAATTATAAGAACACCAACCAAAAACCCCAGTGATGTGAGATGAAAGCAGCTTAACTGGAAAAATGTTGTTCACTCCTTCTTTTCTAACAGACAGGTAGCACTGACTTCCCTTGCCTCCCTCAGCAGCATGCATAGGAATAGAATGAGAAAAGTTTCACTATTAACTTTTCAGTTTTGCAAATTTTTATCCTCATTCTTCTCCAGTGCCTGAAAATCTTAAGGGTTTTTAATTAAGAAACAACAACAAAAAAAAAGGAGCTGGTATTGAATAGTGGTGGTTTTCCTCTAAATAACCAGAAATACCTGAAATCTTCAATCATTCAAGTAAGTTAAGTTTTATCCCAGAATCTTAAACCTGAGGATCAAGGAAATTTAATTTATAATTATCCAAATTCTGTGTATATTTATGCAGATCTTGAAAGCAGGAAACAAAGAAAAACTTCAATCTGCAAAAATCTTCATCAAGTTGAATTAATTTAGACTGAGATGTAAAATGCTGAGTCCTCTCCTGACAGGGAGCTGAACCAATCCCCTTGATTTAGAAAAAGTCTCTAAGTAGCAGCAAGTGTAAAGCCCTTCCTGTTGCATAGCTGGGGTCTGTCTTTAATTTTCTATGATTTATAAAAAGAACATTCTAATCTAAAAATAGAATATGTTGCGGAACTAAAATAACTTGGTCACTTTGGCTGTTGAATTTGAACTTTAGGCCAAATCAAGGCAGTAGCCTTTGACCTCTAGATACCAGGAGCTTTGAGTTGATGGAGGTGGAATCAGAACTGCCCCGTCACGATGCCAAGCCTGGTGTTGCAAAATGAGTCTAATGGGACAGACCTGCCCTATAATTTTGAGATCAGCCTTTGTGCTGACAGGCCTGCAGGAAAGGAGAACAGTGCTTGTCCTCTCCATCAGCTGTGCTGAAGTGCCATGGTAGTAATAGCTAGAGATGGTTGCAGCTCTCTTCATCTTTCCCCAGGAAAGCCCATCATTCTTCTCCCTTTTAGAACTCCCACCACAGCCCTTTCATTCTTCCACCTTGAACACTGACAGCAGAGGTTATAAGGTATCTTTCTTATTCTTAACCAGCCTGATGGGCAGCCAGCCATCGACCTTCCCAAAGGCTTCAGCCTTTGCATGGGATGGACAGTCTCATATTATCCATCAAGAAAGGAAAACCTGCCTACCAATGAACAACAGGATTTCTAACTGCTGCAAGTGAAAATGACCTGGAGAAAGCACAGCAGAGGTTGTCAGAGCACCTTGGTGTGATATAATTGCCTCCAAAGAGTCAATTTCTCTGTAAGCATGAAGTGCAAATCCCTGGCCATCAACACGGGGAACTGTCTTCCTTAAACAGATTCCCAGATAAAACAATAAAATAGAATAGCCTCCTCCTTGAGGGTCCATTTTTGTAATTAACCAGACACATCTTAAAAATAAACTAAACTAAACTAAACTAAACTAAACTAAACTAAAATAAAATCAACATGTCAAATGGAGACACTGGCTAATATTCCTTTAAGCAAGTGACAATATGAGCATTGTCCAGGGTGGATCTGGAGAGGTGCCTCAAGGGTGAAGTTCTGGATGTACCCCAAGATCCTCCTGGGGAGTCCCTGGGCTCCAGGTGTGCCCGTGCAGCCCCGAGGTTGCTGTGGCACAGCTGCAGGCCACCCTGGCCCCAGGGGGCACAGACACCTTGCACAGACACCTCCCCTGCACCCCGAGGCAGCTGAGGAGGATGAGAACACACAAAGCAGATGTTAAATTACAGAGTTTTCCTGCACCGTCCATAAAACCACCATAAAAACACTCTCCCAACCTCCAGGGGCTATTGCTTTGGATTTTCAATGTTCAAGGCTTCAAAAAGACTTTGAAACACTGTGAGCTAAACAGCACAGAACAGAAACAGCTAAACAGCACAGGAAAGCCAGTCTGTGTTTCACTTCATAACACAGGGGCTGTGATGTCTGGGATAATTTGATTATGTGTAACATGATTAATTATTCCATGACACTCCTGAATTACTCGTGCACTCTTGAACACACTATGTGCAGCAGATTCACTCTGTACAGATACAGCACAGTTAGAAAGACTCAGAGAAGCAAGTTAGTCCTGAGGTTGGGCTTGCTAGGCACAAATCCCAAAAGCCAAGAGGGGATAATGATTCCTTAGC